GACATTAAAGGACCGGTGTCTGACTCTACCTGTACAGGGACCCAGAGCAGTCAAGATCAGAGAGTGAAATAGCAGATAGAGGCAGGGGACATAAGGACAGAGTTTCAGTTTTGGAAGATCAAAAACTCTGGAAATGTATGGTGATGGCAGATGCACAACCCAACATGCGTCTTAATGTAACTAAGCCAAAAGTGATCAAATTGGAGGTTTGAGGTTAAGATGTTTTATCACAATAAAAAAAAAAAAACCATCATACCATTGCTGAAAGCATAGCCCATGAAAAAAGGAACAGCATAGCACAGTAGAAAAGGGAGAGTTATATATTCATTCATGAGAGTCAGAGATCTTCAAGAAAAAGTAGATGCTCTTGGAAGAGAAATTTCAATACATAGGTTGAACAGAAAACAAAATACAACTGAAGGAAAATTAGTTAAAAGAATGAGGTGAGACTCTGAGAATGCAATCAATGTAAATTGATAAAGAAATGTCAAGCATAAGCGCTATGCTAAGAGAAGGAGCTGACATACTCAGGAATTATTGTTTGGAGATGGTCTCACTGTGTAGCCCTGACTGACTAGAACTCTGTATAAACAGATGAGGTACCTCTCAAATTTGTGGCGACCCTACAGCCTGTGCCTCCTAAGTACTAAGATTACAGGTGTGTGCCTGTCCAATATTCACTTTTAAAAAAAGGCTCCCAGACAGATCAAGAAGTGGAGACGTAGCTGGGTATAATGACTCACGGTTGTGCCCTCAGAGCACACCAGGCTGTAGGAGGCTGTACAGAAGAAGGACTACTGAGGGTGTGAAGCCACACTGGACTATAGAGTGGGTGGGCAGGCCTCCACAGTGAGCCCATATCTCAAAAAATAAAAAATAAAGGAAAGGAAGAATGGAAAGAGAGAAGGAAAGCGACCAGGTGAGAAAGGGGGGAAAAGGTGCTGCTAGAACAAAGAAAAGAAAGGGGAGAGAGAGAGAAAGAGGGGGGAATGGAGGGAGGGAAGGAGAGAATGGAAGGGGAGAAAGGGAAGGGAAAGGAGGGAAGGGGAAGGAGAGGGAGAGAAGGAAAGAGGGAGGAGAGAGAGAAGAAGGAGGGGAGGAAGTGGAGTGGAGGGAGAAGAAGAAGGTAGAGAGGAAAGAAAAAGGAGGAGAGGGAAAGGAAAGAGAGAGAAAAAAACGAGAGAGGAGGGAGGAGAGAGAGAAGTAAGAGGAGAGAGGGAAAGGAAGAAGAAAGAGGGAAGGAGAAGAGGGGAGATATGGGAGGGATAAGAGGGAGGTAGAGTGGAGACGGAGAGGAGAGAGGGGAGAGGGGGAGGAGAGAGGGGAGAGGGGGAGGAGA